ATGTACACGTGTGAGAAAGACTCACTACAGGAATACCAGCGGATAGCATGGAGTAGCATGGTGCAAACCCTTGAAGAGAGGGTTCAGAGGAAAGTAGCAGAGTATAGCATGGAGTAGCATCGTGTAGACACGGTAGAAGAAAGTACAGAAGATGGTAGCAATGGGTAGCATGGGGTAGCATGGTGCAGGCACGGTAGAAGAAATTGCAAAAGATGGTAGCAATGGGTAGCATGGTGCAGACACGGTAGAAGAAATTACAAAAGATGGTAGCAATGGGTAGCATGGGGTAGCATGGTGCAGACACGGTAGAAGAAAGTACAGAAGATGGTAGCAATGGGTAGCATGGTGCAGACACGGTAGACGAAAGTACAGAAGATGGTAGCAATGCGTAGCATGGGGTAGCATGGGTCGTATGGTATATACAAGAGAGGAGCTAGATATAATATATTTCGCCGAAAGCAAATGGAGCCTCTACCCTAAATATAGTGTTACCTCCAACTTTGTCGCATCGGTTCATTCATACTTCTGACATTCCCTTCCAACAGTAAGAACTTCCAACAGTGTTTCCCCATTGACTTTCATACCTGCTGCGTATTGCTACGCACTTGAGGCACATTGCTTCGTACTCCTTTCAAAATGACCTGCACGCGTTGCGTAATGCTTCATACTCCTTGCTACCACTCAACTGGCTAATGCCACTCCGAATGACGCATTCATCTGACAACCCTTGCAGTGAGGAATTCATGGCCTGTGGATGATCTTTAGAACGGATAGATGCGGAGCGCCCAGATTCACGGATTACATTGAATTACTCAATGAAAAGACCTTTAAGTAAAATGGAAGAGGAGTTCCATGCTCAGCAATTTTTATTGATGAAATTGCATGTAATGACGTCAAGTATCGACGGAGGAGTAGGAAATTCCCATGAAGAAAGATGAAAAATGCCACACAAGTCAAAGTTCAAAAAATGAAACTCAATCTTCTGAGGACTATGAGTCACTTTTGCGGTCGTCATAGGGAGCATTATAGGTTGGTCTAATCCAAGCAGACATTATAGAATTCTTGGAATGACGCGTATCCCTTGACATTTCGCGTCTGTAGCTTCTTGAAAGCTCTGCTCCGTTATTTCTATAACAGTGAAGCGTTTATTGGAGTTCCACGTCCACCGTACACTTTGTTGATGATGAAGACATCTACGGGGTTCAGGGAGGGGCTCTATGTTGATAATAGGAAGATCTTGTGCCCGTTGCAACCAATGAGTTGCTTCACTTCTTCCTTGTGGTGGAATCCAACATTTGTCCATGACAAGGACGGACGGCACTTCCAAGACAATCGTGAGGTGATCCAAGAAATTCGGGAAGATTTGAGTGTTGCATGATCTCCTTATCAGACGATAGTGCAGGGCTCCTTGGAGACCGATTGCAAGAATCAAGGTCAGATTTACCCCTTGGGAATTTTGTATTTTTACTGTTGCTCTCTCCCTGATCACATTTCTTTGAATCGTCACCGAATTTGGAGGTTGAACACATTCGCATCGATCTCCATGGTCTCCCTTGCGTTTTCTCTTCCAATCATCTCCCACACGGAGAGATACCCAATTAAATAAATTGATAACCTTATATTGCTGGACTGTTGGGTTGTCGGGATGATTATAAATATAATTGTCATATTCACAGCTGTCCCAATTGCATTAATAAATTTAAATATATATATGTTGGAAGATGCAAGGAAATGGTTAAATCTATTTTACCCTGCCTCAATCGCCTCCGAAATTTCGTGTCGCTGGAACCCGATCAGGCGTCTTCAGGGGGACGTGTTTTTTAAGTAATTTTGAAGCTGTGGGTGTGCTAATCGGTATATTTGGGAAGTGTTGCTCGTCTTCTTTCACTTGTTTTACGAGCTCATTAGGCATGATGCCGTTGTTGGTTTTCATAATCTTTTCTTGGACGACCGAGTTTCCTCTTCCATCCTCTTGAAATCTTTGTCATCATAGAAGTTCCCATAAATACTCGGCAGGTGCTGGCGACAGTTTACTTCGGGATGTTGTAATCTTGTCCAACTTTTCCATATGGATGGATATCCATTGTGAACACTCTTCGATTAATGATTATTCTTCGAAATTCGTCAGATGTGCTTTTCTTTCGCCTGGGTGTCATGACGACCAAAAGTGAAACAGACGAATGCCGCGGAAGAGTACGTATTGCCGCCGCTGTCTCAAAAGTCCTATTTGTGGTTCCCGTCAGGATTGCCTGGTGGTCTTGCCATTCTGAGCAATACTGGAGGAGAGCACGAGGTACGAAAGATTATGCAACGCGTGCGATTCATTTTGAGAGAGTTGCAGAGTATTTTTCCACTAATGCCTAGCATTCTGCTAGACGTGCGGAACTCATAGATAAACAATAAAATTATATAGCCCCTACAGACATGAAATCAGCTGATTTTGAGTTGCTTGATCTTTGCTCTTTGAATGGATGCCAGAAGTGTATGCTTGGAAAAATCATGAAGCACTAATTACATTTATTGAGGTTTTTTTTTCCCAGCAGAGTATAATTTAGGTGGATTGCTTGTCTTTTCATGCACTTAGGATTGCCAATTGGCTACTATTCTCCCAAGAATCACCCCCATTGTGTTTGGCAGGGAGATATATATGTATATGTGAAGCAATCCCCTCTCACAGTTCCTAAGAAAACCCTGTTCTATTACAATCTTCCATCTTATCCCCCTCTGGAATTGGAGATTCTAGGCATTCAATAATGACTGGAAAGCGAGAGTGGAGGAAAGAAAGGATTTTGCACCCTGTCCATTCATCTTTGAGTGAATATACAGGGTTGGCCAAAAAAAAGTTAGCCACTTTTAATTTTGCTATAAAATCCATATTTTTTGAATGAATTGACTTAAAAATTTACATGAACGTTGTGTGATATGTTCAAGAGTTGAAGTTTCATGAACCTATGGCCTTGCACTCTTGAGTTATGGCAGATTTTGCCAAAGTGGTGACCATTTATTTCTAGTGAACACACATGCAGCTGCACAAATTCACGTTTGCTTGGGATGCCTGGAAATTATGGAAATGCATGACATTTTCAGTTGATGAAAAACTAGCATTTGACAACATCCTGCTAAGTTTTCAAAATGATCTGTGCAAAGAAACAGATTTGAAAAAATATATATATAAATCAAATGTGGATTCATGCCTTGTAGCAGTGGTTGCATGCCTGTTCATTTGGAATTTCAACCATTTTGATCAAATCTGCCATAACTCAAGAGCAGGTGGCCAAAAGTCTGAGAAGACCATAGCAGGGGGTAAAAAAGAAAAATTAGGAGGGAGAAGGGAATTCTGTTTAACCAGTAAACCTGTATAATCAGGGTTTTCTTTGCTTAATCCATACCATATATCATCTGCATTTTTAAATTGGAACATTTTCACTCCCCTAAATGATGTGTATGCAATAGGAAACTTTAAGTACAATATGAAAAAAAAAGGAGGAGAGGGAGGGTATTGAAGGAAAGAAATTCAGCTCCATCAATATGTAGTAATGCTTGTATGCTGGTGCTGGTTATTGCCCTGCCCTCTTTTTTGCCTTGTATTCTTTAATGCTTGCTGAAATTGAAGTTTCGGAGTTTTTACAGTGTGTGAGACTACCAGATATCAGTAATTATTTTATGGTCTATGTTATTGGTGAGTTGATTCTATAGTATAGACCTACTTCAATTTGAGTTTATAACCTTAGCTGTGGAGTTTGTGGCCTGGGTACTCTCCTCCATAAGCCCACATAATACTTATGCTTTTCCTTTTTAGGGGCATGTCAACTGATTCTAAAGTTCAGAATGTTTTTTCACAGGTTTAGGACAAGCCCAGCCTAACCAAGCATTGTTTCACAGATGAACCTCTCAGCAGCAATTGTGGATCAATCATAATAGGCCCAACATTCAGTGCAATAGCACTAGACTGACATCTTTGCTTGTGGAAGAACTCGTACCATGCCTATGTGATGAGGTTTTCTTAGTGTCTCTTATGATATAGAAATGACAAGAAAAATGTGGCTTTCTGTGGCTCTGACTGCAGCATTTATCTTCCTTTGCCGTGAGTGGTTGTTTTTATCTTAATTATTTGGTTATATATATCCAACTGAAAGAGGATGTTGGGTCAGGGGTTTATCCTCTTGTTACTTCTTTGTAACATTCTTCAGTAAAGGTTAACCATGCAAACTGTGGCTGTGCATAATGGAATAGGTTATGCCTGTCCATCTTTAAATCCATTGCAAAGAGTGAAACCATAGTTCTTGCTATTTCATAAAGGTAACCAAAAATCTAAAAAGGTTTGCATATCCATGGAAAAGTTATGTATAACATCATCATATATCTAGCAATAGATGTAGGGTGTCTCAACTGTAAAAAAAGAAGTGATTTTGAACAACACATTTTCATGGGATCTGATCTGTGGAAATGGCTATGAGCCAGCCAAATGGAGCCATATTCTCTCCCTGTTTTCTCTTTGTAGAGCTACAAGATAGAAGAGAAAAATGGTTGTCTGATATCCATCCCCTCTTGGTGTCACTCACTGCCAATTCATGGGCATCTGAAAAGATTGCAGTAGGAAATATATTTTTGCCATGAACTTTAAACTTCAGCAACATTCACCACATGTCTGTCAGCTTGCCAATTTTCACCATGATGGCAGTGCTTTTTTATTATTTTGACCTGCTATTGGATGCCAAAAAATGGAATATGGTGATGTACTACGTGACAGCATAGAATTGTGTGATTCATTTCCTTTTTTTACAGTTGAGACACCCTACATCTATTGCTAGATATATGATGATGTTATACATAACTTTTCCATGGATATGCAAACCTTTTTAGATTTTTGGTTACCTTTATGAAATAGCAAGAACTATGGACCATGAAAATGTGTTGTTCAAAATCACTTCTTTTTTTACAGTTGAGACACCCTACATCTATTGCTAGATATATGATGATGTTATACATAACTTTTCCATGGATATGCAAACCTTTTTAGATTTTTGGAAAGGAGGTCTACCACTTTTGGTCACCTACTTAAATGAATACTGGCCAGCCCTCAGTTAAACTAAGTTCAGATCCTTTCCTTTGTCCCATTGAACCATTCTTGTTTCAGGAGGTCAGCCAGTCTATAAAGGATGGCCAAAGAGTGGCCAGATCGGTGAGGGAGAGGAACTGGTCATCACTTGTTGGGTGAACCGGTTTGAGACAATCAAATGGACTAAGGATAAGGAAGATGTCAGTGTGACTGACACAAATTATGTGATCAATCTCAGATATGATCAGGTTCTTGGACAGGCTGGAACGCTGACCATAGTCTCAGCTAGGCTGAATGACACTGGGGAGTACAAGTGCAATAGTTTGCATAAGGATGGATTCAAAGTTTCAGTCTTCAGTGGTGAGAGGACAAGCCACAATAAGTGTAGATGTTTTAGATGTTTGGTGTCGTGGTTTACATGTGCCAAAAGAAATTAACTGGAATGATTTCTGTGTTTCTAGCTGTAGTTCATTAACATGCTGTGCCACTACTACTATCTAATGCTGCCATATTGTCATGTCAGTTGTGTTATTTCACGAATTAAAAAATGCTATCCCTGTTATTCCATGTCTAAAAGGCCCCTTTATCTAACTCATTAGACATAGTAAAGAAACTATCTAGTACATTTGTGGAGGTGGCAGTATTGTGAAGTGTTAGTTTATTTCAGTTTAGCCCAACAATAGGTAAAGTAGTAGTATAAAGGTTATGACAAAAAAAGACCACTTTGAGTCATTGCATTTTGCGACCAATTTAATCAAATCTTACCAAAGTTTGTGCAAATGTAGCTTGTCTTTTTTCACATCTGAAAAGTTCATGAAAATTTGTATTTTCGAATTGAAGTTAACAGTTTTCTGTGAAAAGCCCAACATTTAAAACTGACAAGCTAATGCTTAAAACATGATGACAAAATACTTAAAAGTTTTACTTGATTTCTGAATTGAATACAGGCATTGCTGAACAACTTCAGTGAAAAATTAATCTCTGAAGAGAAATCACAGAGTTCTGGATCAAACTGTTGCAGAAGCTGCAACATACCAGATGCCACAACATTTTTACTTTCCTGTTGCAGTGCTACAATATGAATTTATTGGAGTAGTTGTCCATTTTAAAATTCAGACTTTTTCCACAATATTGATCAAAACTTCAATTTGAAGAAACAGATTTTGACACATTTTTAAACATTGGGCTTCCTTTTCTATTTTTTAAATAAAACATATGTATCATACAATTTTCTCGTTTCAGATGCTACAATCTTAACCAATGAAGATGCTGGTGGTGGCAAGATTCTTCATATTGGGAAGGACCTCCTCCTTGAATGCAATACAACAGATGACACAATGAGACCATTCCGATGGTATGAATCCCCTCCTAATGTTAAGGAAAGAGAGATGGGATTTTTAGCCTAAAATTGCAACCAAGATCAAGGTAGAGCTATCTCTTCTCTTATGACTGAATAAGCTGTCACTTGGGTGTGCAGATAAAGGCATCAAAAGCCATAATATTGCAATGGTGCTTGTGCAACCATTTCCAAATAGCTGTTTGCCCTTTCCTATCTCTTGTCATTAGCACCCCCCTAGTCTCTGAGAGAACTTCAGCATGTTAGGTAAATGGCTTCCCAAAAAAATCCAGAATTAGCCAAAAAAATTGTAATTTGAATAGAGCAAGTTTTTTTAAGCCAAGTATATAAGATCATAATCTAGTCATGTATCTGATTGGAAAGAAAGTTCTCGGAATTTCATGAACAATTATTACAACCCAGTTTATTTAAAAGCAAAATCATCTCAATCATGAATGTAATCACCATTGGCCTCTATCACTTCATGCCAACGTTTATGCAAACTATGGATGCCATTCCAATAGAACTCTGGCAGCTGTGCTACGAAAAAGTTGGCCAAATCGGTTTTCAGGTCATCTTGGTTGGCGTACTGCTTTCCACCCATGTGACGGTCCAGGGCAACGAAAAGGTGATGATCGGACGGGGCAAGGTTGGGGCTGTAGGGCGGATGCAGCAGCACCTCCCAGCACAGGTCCAGTAACTTTAGATGAGTCTGTCTAGCGGTGTGCGGCCGGGCATCGTCGTGGAGGAGGATGGTTCTCTGTCTTTCTGGGCATGTTTCAGCCAGTTTCTGCTGCAGCCGATCGAGTTGCTGGCAGTAGTAGGCAGCAGTGATGGTGGTGTTTTGCGGCAACAGCTCAAACATGATGATGCCTTTCGAATCCCAGAAGACCGAGTGCATAATCTTTTTGGGGTGCAACTCCTGATGGGGTTCTCTTTCGGCCGATGCTCCGGCGTCCACCCACTGACGTTTTCGTCGAATGTTGGCATAGAAGGTCCACTTTTCGTCGCCTGTCACCACTGAGTCTAGCCGATCCGTTCGGCGCGAACGTGACAGAAGGGAGATGGCCATGTCTACTCGTCGCTGGCGNAATTGGCAATCCTAAGTGCATGAAAAGACAAGCAATCCACCTAAATTATACTCTGCTGGGAAAAAAATTGTACTGGATATTCAAGAAATTCCAAGAACTTTCTTTCCAATCAGATATATGGCATGATGCAGATGGTACTAATAATTTAAAAAAATGCAATTGATAACTGCTGAAAATATGAAGATATGGAGACTTATTAGCAACTGTTGCATGTGTTCCAGGAGGAAATACACTGTTTTCACATTGAATTCATACCCCCCATAGAGGTACTTACATTGATTGCAGGTGGTGCCATCTTCCAAAAAGACAGTTTTATTGGATCATCTGATGCAGTGGATCCTATGGTAGTATTGGTTTCTACATTCTCCACTGCTTGGGGTCATGAATCTGGAAACTGTGTAGATGGCATTCCAAAGATATATAGTTCTCAGTCACATAGACCCCAAGCCTTTCAGCTGTCTTGCCTTTCCATAGCTTCCATACCTTGCTCATTCCTTGGGTCCTGTTTCTTTTTTCTCTTCATTAACACAAGGCAAGGGGCTGCTGCCTTGAAAAGATTTCAGATTTTTTTGCAAATTTTTCTGTATCAAGTGTGGGAAAACTCCCATCTGGGAGTTTTCTATTCCTATTCCATTGCTAGAAATTTTCCAATGGACTCTGACACTTATCGCCCAATTGTCCTCTCCTAGCACACTGCAGTAACCTCCCATCAACCTATAAATTGAATTGTGACATGTGGTACCCACTAATATCTGGCCTGACTCCACTGCTGTTTTCTTTTTTTTTTTGGAATGCTACATTTTGCTCCTGGTATGGAAGAAATGACAATCATGAATTGCAACTCAGTCCTGCCAAAAGCATTCTGAGGGTATATGACTGATATTTTAAGCCAAAAGCAACTTTTTTATGCACCCATCATGTTTCAAAATGAGATGTAACTCAACTGTGAATGTCTTTGGTAGGTATAAGGAGGGTGAACAGATCCTTAATGACAATAAAAAGATTGTGAAGAACAACACTCTCCTGATCAAAAGTGCCCAGAAAGGTGACAGTGGGACATATCGCTGTGTCATTGATGATTCTCACAATGGATGGGGCAACCGAGAAGATGGACAGAACATTACAGTCTACAGTGAGTCCTTATGTCACCTAAAAATAATTTAGCAAGACTGCCAGTTATCACTGATTATGAAATATCAGTCCCAGTGGATGTGGAGCCATTCCATGGGAAGAGCATCAATTTGGTTCAAGGGGATCGTCTTCATCTGGAGTGCCGTGTCCATGGTCACCCCGAGTTTACAATCACATGGCATAAAGGTGTGTATCCTTACATCCCTGTTACATCTAAGAGTAACTAATTTAAATTCATCTTTCTTGGTGGGTAAGAGGCTAATTCGATTAAAATTTCAGATCTAAGGTTCTCATTGTGACATGTGTATAAATATCTCCATCCTATTAAAATTACCTTTTATGTTAACCCCCTGAACACACCAGGTATTGGGACAATTTCCTGCCAGAATTTGGTATGAAATAAAATTTAAAATTTTCTCTTCTGAAGTTCTCTACTTCTGATTTGACTTCCTTTTATGATACCCCCCCCCCCCCCCCCCTCCCATGGGCACTCACTGTGAGCAATAGGTGAGCATCATGCGTATCAGTTTCATGGTTCCTTCATGATGCACATGAGTGCGTCATGTGTTCAAGGGGTTAAAGACATTCTGCTGGTTGATGTGCATGCAAACCATTTTGTGGGAATTTAAGATTGTATGGCAGAGTTCATTCCTACTTTATTGATCTACATCACACATTTCCCAATAAGAAATTTAGAGATCATCAGCCTTTTATGTGTTTTTATATTTGAAATAACTTTCTTTTTTTGGCTTTTCCACTCTTACTGTTCTGTTGCTTAGGTAATTTAACCCTTTAAAATCCAAATTGAAATACTGTACATAAATGATGCAAAGTCAAAGTTTTCTCATTCAACCACCCATGATGAAACATCATTAAACACAAAAATACTAATTCCAAAATAGATCACAGGGACTCAGAAGTCTGCGGAATATGCAAAATAAATGCAGGATTCCTAAGTCCCACCAGGCCTGAAAGGCTTAAACCTTGGTCCTGCTCCTTGTCTGCCCTTAGCAATCATGTCAAATATGCATTATGGCCAGTGGTAAGCTGATGACCTAAGTATGACTCGAGGGTCTGATTCACTCAGAATTTCCCAAGAACTTGGCTTTGTTAGCCAACTCATCAGTGGTCATGCTGAAAGCATAGTGACTATTGTAGTCTTAGTTCTCCTTGGTAATGACTGAGTCAGTATGAATTGTACAAACTGAACTTATCATGCTTGTTTCAATTAATTTTGATCACCCTCAATTGAAGACTTTATTATGGCAAGCCCTGAGACACTACAGCCTTGCAATTCACTGGGGTCCATCTTTATAATGGGGATGGGTGAACCACAGTGAACTCCCACAGAAGATAAAAGAGATATTGGATTTTTGTATACTTTTTATATACCTCATTTACTTCCATTACTCTGTTTTTCAGTCATGAGAGCCACTTGAGTGTCTTAAATGGATATTTTAATTTTTTCAAATTTTATGTTGGTAACGGTTATAGATGGAAAGCTGCTGGAAGATGATGGGCGGATTACATTGACCAATAACAATACAACCCTGGATATCTCGGACCTGCAATTTGAAGACCGAGCAGTTTACATGTGCCTTGCCAAGAATGTAAGAGGCTCTGACAACTCCACCATCCTCGTCCGAGTCAAAGGTCAGCTTCTTTTTCATGCAATGAAATCATGCTATCCTTGAAGACTCACCAAGTTCATTGTATTCTGTAACCACCTTCTTGAAGTCAACCTTGAAGTTTTTCACCAGTCAAAGTTCTTATTTTTTGAGGTGAGGTTTATGAATTAGGAGTCAGTGATGTGCTGTGCAGTCTTTTTCATAAATTATGAGGTAAAAATTGCTCCTGCCCTTTCATGAAAAAATGTCAGTATTCCCCAAAAGGGAAAGTGATTCCTCTCTGTTCACATTGCTCTTAATGAGCCATCATGATTCATGTACACATTTCATGTACCTTGCAGGATATTAATGCAATTACTGGAGAACTAGCTGCTCATCTTGTTTTCATGTTTTTTTTTTTCATTGTGAGAGAGACTGAGAATTTCCATAGCTTTGGTTCTTGGGAATTAGCTATTTGACTTTTGCTTTGCCTCAAATTGCAAAACAAATAAATTACATCATAGATGAGCCTCTTGGAGTTTTATGGCAATATTGGGAGAATTTATTTGTATCTTCTGTAACTGTTGTAAATGCTTGTGATATAGATAGAACTTTATCTGATGAATTTTGAAAATTTTACATTTTTATTGGGATATTCTATGAATAGTTGTGGCATATCCATGTTCAGAGGACATCCTTCATGCTTGAGGCTCAATGAACCTGATTTTCATCTGCTTCATCCTTTCCCTTATCCTGCAGCACTGTTGCAAAATTGCATCACCTATGATCCTGCATCATGAGCCTATATCTAGATTAGGAGGTGCTTGAGCTACAGCAGCGGTTCCCAGACTTTCCTAAATTGTGACCCACTCGCTGACATACAAAAAATTTTGTGACCCACTGGAGTCAAGAATGAGGTATCTTCAAAGTAATCATGAAGTGAAGAAAACCGATTGACCTTTTCTGCTGAGCATGTTTTATCCCGAGCGGATGCGGATATAGTGATTTTTTATGCAGGAAAATGTACACGACCCACAGTTTGGGAACTGCTGAGCTTCTGTAGTCATAATGGGTAAGCTCAAAATAAGCAACTAAAAAACCTAGGCCCTCATTTCCTAAATGTGTTATGCTCTTACTACCCCCATGATGTGTAGGAGAACATGAAACTCCATCAGATGAATTCAGTGAGTGTATTTTTTGACATAAAAACCATGAGCAACAAAACAAGTTTCTGTTTAAATTGTTCTGGAATTCCTCTCATTTGGTATTTTATTGAAATGTTGAACCCTGGGAATGTTACCTACCTTCCCCCTCTTCCAATAACCTTTACCCCTCCCTCTCCAATCTTTTTCCTGGTCAGTTCCCTCTATTTCCTTCTTGTTCTATTCTGGAAATATCGCAATGTCAATTAGTGAATTCTTTCGCTGCCATTTGCAGACAAGTTGGCTGCCCTGTGGCCCTTCCTTGGAATCTGTGCAGAAGTGATCCTCCTGAGCACCATCATTTTCTTCTATGAGCGCAAGCGAAGCAAGCAAGAGGGTGATGAATCTGAGGGTCCAGAAACTGCCAATCCTATGTAAATCCCATTTTCACTCTCACTTTTTAGATTATTTTTCCAGTAGGTCTTGTCTCAAGGAAGTTTTGCCTTTTTCAGGAAAAGCAACACAGAGAACATGGAATCAGAAGTACGCCAGCGAAAATGATGTCCTTTGCTCTCATCAGCTTTCAGTTTTCTCTCTTCATTACCCCAAATCATCTTATATATCCAGTAGCAAGACATATATGCTGCATGATTGTTATCCAAACTTCATACCTGTGATAGCAATCCTCGGTATTACTGCTTCCTATCATATGACTCCCCTTTCTTCTTGCCTATGTGAGACTGGAAGAAGAGGAGGAGACTATCTGTGCAATAGGAAATCTCTTTACAGTTTCCCTACTTGATCACTAGTGTCCCCATTCTTACCCCTTGTTGAGTCTAAGGAAGAAAAATGGTGCTAGTCCACAGAGTCACGAATCACACTTGCTGCATCGCCCCAGCAATGGAAACTCCTTTGTGATTCAGCTCCTATCCAAAGCTCTCTATTGTGTGTAAGAAAAAAAAATCCTAGAATTTTGTGACACCTCTCAATTGTTTGTATGGTCTCTATGGATTGAATATTTTTTTAGTGGAGTTTGAGAATCTCTGACACTGACCTTATAGCTCATGGGATATCTGCAAGTGAGGCTGAATTGGAATGTATTCCAGCACATAATGTGAAAAAGATCTCCTGTTCAGACAACTTGATGATTCACCATGATCCTGAAAGTGGCAGCTAACTAGCTGATGAATCCAGTTTCCAGCATCCTCTTTAGAGTAAACTAGAATTGATGAAAAGAGGTTTTCTCATCCTGAACTCCATTCAGTCTTACTTGAAGAGTCTCAGGGTGGCTGTGTTCCTTCTCATGGGACTGTTGGCAATTCTTTTTGTATGAGTGTAGCTGCTTGTTCTTACACAATGCACTATTCATTCTTTTATTCAGTGTTTTCTATGCTTTTGTCATCTGCTTTATCCCTGTCCAATGTTGTCTCCTGTGCTTTATGCTAGCTCTATATTGAACTTCTTGAACAATATTCTCCATTGATTGATGCTATGAAACATTTGGCCTGATCTCACATGGACATGTAAGGCCACAATATCTCTTGGAAATCAAACTAATCTAGATCATGCTCCATTTCAGTGTTAGTGCCATATCTTTGATTTCCCTACAGCATAATTTGGGCTGAGAATTGACACTCTTTTTCAGTGTTGAATTGCATGCTCCACAATTAGAAAAAAAGTGAAACTTCAGTGTCAATACATACTGAGACTTACCAGGAGTCTGTCAACTTTCCCAATCATAGTTGTTTCTTTGCTTACCAGTACCAGTACCTCAAGACATGAGTGACTCCTTTAGTGCATGGAGTGAGAGTGCAAATTCCATTCTTTTTTCCTTTCTCCCTTGTGTTACCAGATGTGAAGGGAAATAAACTAATACTCACCTCAAAGTTTTTTGAGTTTCATTTCCTTTTATTAACATTGAAAGTTTATTGCAGAAAATATGTGAATTCTTGATTTTGTAGTGAATGTCACGGCAGCTGTTTTCTCTAGTCTGAATATTTACCTATGCAGTTGTGTGATACTCCAAGAAAGTTGCAATAATGAAAAGCTGGAATTTGGTCGATTTCTTCCAGCTGAAACAACAGCACTGCCATCACAGTTTTTACAAATTTCCCCCATGGTGCAGTCAGGCCTCCAGCAACTCTATGACATGATGACCAGCCGTGCAGGTGGCAAGGACAAGGAAATGAATCATGCCATCACAAAAAAGTCAAGATACATGCTCTCTGTCTCCTTTGATAATCTAGGTGAGCCAAATTATTGATTAAAAGTTGCAACCTTGTTCCTGTGTTCACTGCAGAGATGATTTCATGTATCTCTATGATACTTTGTAGAGCAAGGTGACTTGCGGTTTGTGGACATGGATTTTCCAGAGGAGCCATATTACAGCTTTATTGGACATGATTATAAGCAGAAGATGAAGGTGCGTTGTCTGACTGAGGTGAAAATAAAGGCAAAGGAGGAGGAGACAGAGCAAATTAAGTCAACTAGAGCCATCTGGAAGGCAGAGAAGGAAAGTAGGCTGCCGCATGGACTTGAGTTACTTTCAGCCTTTGTCAAGAATGACACATTAAGCACATCTGTGCTGACCAAGGCAATGAGGGGTATATACACCTGTGAGGTGCTGAATGAGACTGGTTGCACCCTTGGCCATGCAAAGCTCGTCATCCATGTCCGCAGTGGGTCTATGTCCTCCCAAATGAAGCCTGTTGGCAATGGATGTGAATGTGGAATCAATTTATTTCCAGGTCTTTGGGATGCTCTATGGCCTTTCATTGGGATCCTTGGTCAAGTCGTCATCCTCACAGCCTTCAGCAGCTATATGGAGTATCACAACAACCAGAAGGTGCTAGATCCAAAGAATATGCGAAAGAGGAATGCAGGGTGAGTTCTTTGTGTCAGTCTCTTCCTAATTTACATCATATGGTATTGCCTTGTCAAAGCAAATGCTTGCCAATATTATGTAATGATCAGGTCTTTCAGTTTCGTAATGTAACTGCAAACTGCAATAAATGAATGGTAGATGGTCAGAAAGAAGAGTGAGAATTTGGGGCAAATCCAGACATCTATGGCTGCCATGCAAATTAATTCAGAGAATGTATGGTTGAAGTTAGAGATCTGTGATAAATATCTGGTTACTATAAATGAGGTGGTTGCAAAAAATTTTGAACATGAAAATTTCCTAACACTTGAAGCAACAGAAGAAAATCATGCAGTCTGTCATGTGTCTAGTTTATGTATAAGAGAGAATACAGCTCAATGTAACAAACTTCTATATGATCCTCATAACAAATTTTTTAGCCTGTCCCATTGAATACATCATATCAAGTGATGAACATCTATATAATGAATTTTCCTAATAAAATTTTTTTAACCCTTCCCATTGAGTTGGTTATATTCAGATTTGACTGTATTGTCAAAAAAGTACAATTATGTCTTTCTTTATTTTGTCTTTTTACATGTGCAGGGACATTTTCCTACTGTCACAATTAAGTTGAAGTGCATGGAAAATCCTGTATTTTGTGTTAACTAGGTAAACTGTGTAAGAGACTTTAGCACTTTTGTTGCCATGTGGACCACTGAGGTTCCAGGTTGCTTCACAAGGTTCCTTACCAGCAGAAAAAGGAACACATTGGTTGCCACACATCAAAATGCAAACCTGTTGAGTATCACCAGTGAAATAATTTGTACCACCTTTTTCTTGTTGCAAGCAATGGTAAATAGACAAGTTCAATTTCCAAGCAGAAGTACTGTAAGAAGTCCAACCCCTTGTGTTCCCTAATTTGCTGCACAAGCTTTTTTACCCTGGATTCTGGCAGCTGAAAGAAAGGTTATAAAGGCAAAGCCTCATTTGGCATGCTCACCTAACATAAATTATCCTATTATACCTGTGTGAATAATGTTTGCTGCATTTGCTCTTGTCTTTATTGGGAGAGCATACATTTATGTGTTTTACTTTGAAGTTCTTGCTTAATCATAATGTGAATTTCATAGTCGGTGAACCTGGTGGTTATAGTGAAATCTAGAAGTTCCATACATATAAAGTGCATGACATATGTCTGTGGTTGGTGTTGGTATGGGAACTAACAAGGATGAAGCATTGTGTCTTCCTGCTGAGAAGAGGAAAAGAAATGAGATGAATATTCACTATAAATTTGGCCCTGTGTCATTGAACAGGATGGGAGAAGGAATACAAGCCCACCCACCCCAGCTGCCAATAGGAGAGATTTTGCCCTTGCAAGAGGCTTTCATCTCTGGCTCATCCATTGATGTACTGGAACCAGACAGAGACTTGACTCCAAAGGAGACCCTTTTTTGTTCAGGGATGGATCCACTTGCAAGCAACATAGAAACCAGACAAAACACTCAGTGTATGAAATCCTGTAGAACTAATGGAACTGGAAGGGAAACTGGAAGAGCTTCCTAAGCATGAGAAGAAATAAGAATTGAAAATTTAAGATGAATCATTCCAAATTGGAGATATACTGTATAAATCCTTGAAACACTTTCAACCTGTAATTCCTATATGTCCTCTTTGAAGGAAAAAAAAATTATGCACAACACATCTATCCCATCTCTTTGTGTATCATAAAGTTTTCCTAGTCAAACATGGGTATAAGAAAGTCAAATCTACTCCAATAGGTGTGCTTTTTGCTGGACTTCAAAGATAGGCATATTGGATTTTAGGAAAGTCAGACATGCACATCTCTTGGTCATGCCTTCTTGTTACTCTACATGCTGCCCCAGATACACTTGCTTATGAATATTGCACTTAATCTTATTGGTTGCTCATGATACATCAGGACATAAGAATGGGATACTCCCTGGATAACTACCTGAGATTGGAGGAGGACTGCCTAATTCAGGCCAGGAAAAGGTGTGTCTCATGGCCACCCCATAAAATTCAAGACACATAACACAGGCCAAAATGGGACTACACAGAAACTTGGGCCAACCTTGGCTGCCTTTGCCATTATGTTAGGGGGGAACACTGCTCATGAAAAGCTTTGTCAAAGCCCAATGGGACCAAATTCAAATGTATTCTATCTTCAAGAAACAGTATTTACCATGCAATATTGTCATTCTGTGTTAACTTTTTAAGAAGTGAACATGCCAATTGACAAAAAATCAATGGATGGAAGCAGTGAAGGCTTTTTTTTCCTGGGTTTGTGGTGTTTTATTTTCCTTTGCCTTGGGAGTGGGGAATGAGAGAAAAATTGGGAATTCCCAGCACACTTCAGTAATGGATGTGCTGTGTGGTCTCTTCCTTTTGGTATCACCTCCACCCTGTTCTCTCAGCCACACATGTTCCAGGTAACTCCTAGTTTCCCTAATTTATGTCTTTTAGCTAAATTTTGGTGCATTTTTGCTTTCATCAAGAGAACAGGGTGAAAAATGTGAGCAACTTTGGTTTTTCTGCAGTAGCCTCCTCATGCTCCAGGGGTGGTTGTCATTTTCATGAATTAAATTCATGCACAAAGTGATTTTTATCTGCAACAGAAATTTTACCAATACACTGAGTCCTATCGTGCTGTATCATTCCATGGATGCAATAAAGTGGAGGAAAGTCGGGAACAGTGAAAGTGAAGCACAAAGAGAAAGTTGGCATATTGGTATGGCCACACTTTCCAATGTCATATTTAAATTTCTTCATGCCTGGCATGTCTTTGAAGTCCAGCATCAAAAAGGCTTCTCTCATTTACTTTACCTTTTCTTGATTGAGACTCTCCCATGCAGGAAACAGCAGTGGATTTTTTTCATGTCTTTTCTCGTCACATTTGACTTACTTTCTCTTTATATCTGACCTGGAAAATTTATCCAGAGTATAATAATAATTAAAAAACAGACCCCTAACTTTTAAGAAAAAAAAAAAACTTATTACTGCTATTTTCACTAAAATTGAACCTGGCATAGCCTGACAGGTTTGCATAAATGGATGGGGGCCTGTGATGGGAGGGAAGGGAGGAAGAGCCTTCATGCTGTGGATGCATGTATGGAGTCTTGTCAATCTGCAAGGGTTGGATCCTGCTTTTCATTTTTATTTCCTGATTTCTTATGAATATATAACCTTTAAGTAACAGAACAAATTTTTATGAAATTTGAAAGGGGTGTTGAGAACATATCAGTCTATGGATAGTTCAAGTTTCTTAAAGAATTTCAGTAAATGTAGAGTTTTAAAGGTTAAACATCAGAGGTCAACTTTTTGCTATGCCCTGTTTATAAATGAATGCATTAGAAGGGAAGGTTGCAACTTTGCATACCTCTCTTGAGACTTTGAGACATGTCCCCAAAGCTACTCAATACCGTACAGATTTTTTCAAATCATATTCACTTCTTTAAAATATTGCTTGTGTCTTGCTAATGTGCTGTCAACACGAGAAGCTATGGAAAGCCGGTTGCTTGGTCGAGCTATGAGTTCAGCTCGTTGCATGGGATTCTATGCTCCCGAGCTATCTCAGAAGAAGAGCCTGCATCCATACAAAAACATCTGTGCATGGAAAAGCAAGGTAGATTTGCTAAGGGACCTTCAGCAAAACATCATCTTTCAGCAAGGTATTATCCCAGCAAGAGTGAGAATATCACATTTGGAGTTTATATGTAATAAATCTTCCCCTTCCATACAGTGTATGGTCTAAAAGTTTTCACTTTACAACTTCCCATTGCTTATTAAAATGATATTCTTTTAACTCAAAGCAATTACGATTCTCAATGAACTGTAGTTACAATTTCTTTTAGATGTGAAAGTTATAGTGAAGATAATCATTTCACTTGAATGACTGTCATATGCCTCTAATGAGTTGTTTTAATGAGTGAAAATTGGAGCATAAATCTCATGAGCTTGAACCTGGTCAAAAATCATAATGTGTAGTGTCCATGGTCAAATATCCACCTTATGTTCTATCTGAACATAATGGGTATCTGGATCTTGCTTCAAGATAGCTTGAGCAAATTATTGACCAGAGATCCATGAAAATCCAACCACACTTTGATTTTTAAAATTATGCTCTCAATGCATCAATAGTGAAACTAGTGTGACTGAAAGTAGTGGAAGCTTCCCAATTTCCTGTACCATCCCAGCATAGTTCCAGCTGGATGTCAAGTCATGTCACAAGCAATACTAAATTAAGGTTTTGTTTAATCCAAATCAGTCAGACTCATGCACAGAGCTCAGTCAACTTAAACTATTTCTTTTGATTTAATCAATGAATTTGATTTCTCTTTGAAACTAATACCCAGACTTGGAGTCAATAGCTTGTGAGAAAAAAATTTTCTACTGAGGGAAGTTGCCAAGTAACTAGACTTATCAAACACCCTAATACCTGTTTGTTAGCTGGGATGGTGGTATTGAATAAGCCATATGGACTGCTTCATCGACCACACCCAGAGACCCTGAAGCAACGTCGGAAGCACCCGCATCTCTACATGGGGACCAGGGCTGATGATCGTTTCTCCATAGAGGCCTGTCTTCCTGACCTGGCTGCCTCTTTGCAAATTGGAAAACTCCACATTGCCAAATCTATTGATAGGCAAGGGCATTACCAAGTTCTGTCACTGCAATTTCTTCTCTGAGGTTAAAGCAATGAGTATATTGGGAATTATACTGCAGATACAACTCAGGGATTGTGGTGATGACTGAAAATGAGAGACTTGTGGAAGAGGTGAAGCAGCAACTGAAGTCCCAGCCTGGCAGTCAATTTGTGGTTGCTCTTGGTCAACTCTCACCACCCTCAGGCAAACTCAAAGTCTGTCACGAAATGTTTCCAGCACCTACTATGATAAGGAATGGTAGGGTATGCACCCCGGTTTCTGGCCTGTCTCCAGTTGTTGACCAGTGAAGCTTAAATCCAGCATAATTAGTTAATCTGGCCGTTTTCAAGCATTTTATCCTGTACGAGGACCTATTACCTGTACTAGTGTTTCCCAGTGTGCGCACAGAGTATCCACTTCCTATGGGATATCAGCGTGGCCAAAAACGGGTGTTTACCCTAAGGGAAGATGATGAAATGAATTGCCCTCCGTGTGGAGAAACCTTTTTTGACTGATGCATTGCCAGACGATTGATTTCTATTAACCCAAGGCTGGAATGGATACATTCAAGATTTTTGTGATTCCATATGGATCCAGGTCTTACATCCTCTACTAAAAAAAAGTCATCCCATGTTTAAATTAAAATGATGGGCTCGTGCAGAATGCTTCAAAGATATGTTAATGGATTCTGAACTTACATATTTTTAAACAGTAAATTAAGTTAATTCAAATTCATAGGGAAAACCTTTCATGGGTTTCAACATTTGACCCTACCAAGATATTAATAAGTCCTACAGTTTCGTATAGTTAAAAAATTAGAATTGGGATGAATATTATCACTGGGTGTTTCAACAGTGATCAACCAGGATTAAATCAGCATAGATTTGCTCCTATAAAAGTCATCAAACAGCCCATAGAGATTATATCGTGTGAGATATATGGAGAAGGTGCTGCTTGAAAGCATACAAATTCCTCCCCCTCCCATTCTTCCTCTCTCGCCTTCGATAAGCGGAGAATCACAAATTTCTGCTCCACAACAAATGTCTCTGTGATCGCGGATTCCGCTCATTGGTCCCAATTCCATCTTCTCACACCCTAAAAAGGTCAGACTGTTATTTTGAGAAGTCACTTGACTTGTGTCGTCATTCAAAAGGGTGCAGGGCGTTGTATACGGTCGAAAACCCCACTACGAGCTAGTAGAACAAGCGTAAGTTGGAAAGATTTGGAAATCAGCATGAGATTCTTGCAATTAATACTCATATCTAAGAACAAAATTGTGTCCAAAGGTCATGAAACTTTTGTAACCTATGACAAACAAAAATGAGCATTAAATGGCCGATAGATGTCACCACCTTGAGGCAATAAGCACATTCCTGCGAGAGTCATTAAGGAAACCGCGAGAGAAATATCGGTTCCGCTAAGAATTATATTCGATAGCAACTTCTCGCGCGGGGAAGTACCTAAGGATTGGAGACGAGCAAACGTCGTACCGATCTTTAAGAAGGACGAAAAGAATAATCCAGGAAATTACAGGCCGGTAAGTCTCACGAGTATCCCAGGGAAGATCATGGAGAGCATACTAAGGGACCATCTCTTGGATTTCCTCGAAGGAAACGCGCTCATTCGGGACTCTCAACACGGCTTTAGGAGGCGTCGAAATTGTCTCACC